AGTCCTGGGAACAGGCTGCACTGTAATTAAAGAGATGAGGGATTTGATTTGGGTGTGGTCTTGCCACTGAGGCACCCAGCATTTGGCAGCTATGGTTGCATTCAAATTCCTATTTGTTTTGTTTTGGTATATATTATTTTTTAATCTGAGCAGGACTGGCTGTCCTGGGCTGCTTTCCCTGCATGCCCTGACCCTGTGTTAATGATGCCTTCTGCTAATCCATTCTACACCTGATGAACTTTTTCATCCCCTCCCACTCTTGCAGGCAATTTTGTGCTAAGACTTTGCATACAACATTACAGTGCAGCTCTAGCTATGCTAGAGGAACCATAACTTATTACTACCTCCTTTCTGCTTGAGAGAGTGGAAGAAGTATTTTTGTGGTCTTTTAATATCTTCTTCAAGCCCTTAGCTAATTGCATTCTGTACTTTTTCCCCCAATATTTTATGTGTTACATACCATGTAGATAAGCCGGTAGTTCTTGGGAGTTAAAAAATAGTTCAGATACTTCTCCATTGATATAATGGATGATTATAATAATGATAAAAACCATCAAATGAAAAAGTGGGTGCGACAGGTGGTACAAGTCTGTGGATAACATTGTTCTTCTATAGGAATGGAATGGAATGGAATGGAATGGAATAGAATAGAATAGAATAGAATAGAATAGAATAGAATAGAATAGAATAGAATAGGAATGGCCCAACAAAGCAAACAGAAATTTGTTTAATTTCCCAAGCAATAGTGCATTTAGCAGCCTATACAGCACCTGTTCTATTGGGAAAGGCCACTGAAAATGCTGCTCAGGGAAAACAGCAAGTCCTCCTTTGTGTCAGTGCTACAAGTGTAGGTTCTGATGGTTCTGACCTGCAGATGCAGCCCGGTGAGCTGAGCATTCACCCAGTTACCCTCTGGTGCACACAGGCAGTGTGCAGCCTCTCCCACCTCTGACACTATCGGTGTCTGTGAAGGCTTTGAACTCTCACACTACTTTGCTCTGGGGTTTTGTTGGCAGATATTTGAGCAGCTGTTTCATGGCCTTCAAGTGCCTGCAGTGCTGGGCCTGGACGGTCTGGCTCATTCAGAGCTTTGGCTTCAGCTGCTGTGCTGGGTTTGTCTCTTCAGTGTTTCTCTTTATTACTCAGGGAAACCCCGTTCTAAACAAGCTGCTGTGGGTGCTGGCAGTTTCTTTTCAGTGCTTTCTAGGTCAGGAATTTCTTGCATGCCAGTGTGAGCAGATCTTGGGAAACCCTTGTTTTGATTTGTCAGGTTGCTGGGTTTGTTCTGTTTGTTGTTTTGTTTTGTTTTGTTTTCCCTCTGATTCTGCAACGTTGTTTCAAAACCAAATAGGGCTTGTTTCATCAATACACGCTGTCATGTCACGCAACAGTGGAAATTAGTTTTACAGAAGGTAAGTCAGTGCATGTGTCCTAAGGAAGCTCCTGCCAGTGTTTTCAAGCAGGACATCACCCCTCATTTAGCAACACGTAAAGAGCAGGCCTGCTTCTTTTTGCATGCAAGACCGGGAATGGTTTCATGACAATCCAAAGAAGATGGTACCACACTTCTGTTTTCAGCTTGCCAATTCTGATACCAGTGGGAATTTATCTTGAGGTACAGATGTCAGCAGGGCTACCACATGGTTTTCTGCAGCTGAGTATTTAAATAGGGTCCAAACTGTGAAGCTTGTGTTTAGCAGCTAGTGGGTGGCTGAGCTGAAGCCAGCTCATTTGATCTGTGTGTACTGCAGTCACACCTTAGGGTTGCAGTGTAGATATAATCACAGAGACCTCAGAATAAACCTCTCCCTACCTAATCTTTTCACATGTTTCTGAACAGACAGGTGTGTGCACCACTCCTACGTCTGCAGAGTGCCTTATTTGAAGCAGGTTGCACATGGCTGCAGGCATGAAGGAGAGCCTGATGGTAACAAGGTTGCCTGTGTCTAATAATTGAGAGGTCAGGGCTTCCCTGGAAGAGCTGGGAAACACAATTTTGGGAGAAGCAGGGAGAAGGTGCTGGGGCCACGTGTGATGTTATCAGTGCCCAGCTGCCTCACGTGGAAAGTTGTGTGCTTGGAAAGAGCCAGCACACATCTTTCTCCCATTAAAAGATACCTTTAGAAACCCTTGTGCTTTTTGAGTAATTAGCTTTATTGCCCAATATGGTGTCACAGCAAAGAACAGCATTTAAAAAACAGCATTTGTGTTACCAATGCAACTGAAAACCTTTAGCTTTGTTTCTGTAGCTTCTCATTCCATACACAGCTGAACTCTCTGTTTTGCACCTGCCTTAGAAGTAGTTTGAAGTAGAGGTGTGATGCTTTGTTTTGGTGAGTGGAAAATGGGGCTCTCCCAAGGGAAGCTATACTGTCTTTCTGCTTTGAAATTGTAATTTCATTGTGGCTTAGCTCATGAACGCTCTTTTGTACCATTGCAATGCTTTATTCATGTAAAAATGTAGCACTGGTTACATGAAGAGCCCACATTTCATTTAAATATAAAGGGTAACCAGGGCTTTCTTTACACTGGCTCTGCTATGGAGTGGTTCTGTAAATGATGGTTAACACAAGAAATTCCTGTTCAGAGCAGCTTTTTACCTTGCATCAGGTGTCCTTCTTGCAGCTTCTGTTTTCCTGTAGCTCTGGTCAGCAGACAAAACGTCTTTCCTGGCAAGCAGCCAGCCTTGTGCATGGTCAGCACCACCCACCCTTGTCTGAAGCCTGACCTGAGCACTTCCAGGAAAACTCTTTCCCACCTGGAAACCCTCTGGCACTGAATGTGGGTGATGTCAGCCACCTTCTTCTTTGGCATTTACTTGACATTCTCTCCCTATCTAACCCTCCACACCCAAATTGCTCTTAAAGTCCTCTTCATGCCCACTACCCACAAGAATCTGATAAATCCCTGCTGTCTTTGACAAATACTTAAACACCAGAGCAGGACCAGTAAAGTAACCTAGATAGGGCTAAAGGAATTAAACCTGTGAACAGTCCTAATCATCCCTCTGCGTGGGTTTCTCAGCAAATCCTGTCTCTGTGCCCATCTTGATCAGCATACCAGGTTAGTTGCTGTCTGTATTTCAACTCATAGAGTTCCAAGCTCTGCATCAGCATTTACAGTTTCTGGTTCAGCTGGTAGGGTGCTTTGGAAAGTTGGCACTGTGTTTCTTATATCTTTATTCAGGCCTTGGAACACCGAATTTACTCTAAGAAATAATAGGTGATAGCACTAACGTGCCATGTAATCATGCAGCCACCTCAAATGGCTGTCAGCCTTGCTGGGAGGCAGCCTCAAGGAGAGTGGTGCCTAGATATGAGCTGCTTACGGCTGTTTTCAGATCCTCCAGACATGTATGTATGAGCTTCCATCCAAGGGAGGCCTTGTCAGCCACACATGGCTTCCCTTTCTTGGATTGCACTGGGTGCTGGGAGACGCTCAGGAGCACATCTCTGTTTGCAGCATTCTTGCTGTCCGGAGCCTGGATCTGGATCCAGCTGTCTGCCTTCTCATCATCTAGAAGCAAAGGGAAAATCAAAAGCTCTACTTTTTTACTGTATTCTCCCTTGGTCTGTCACTGCTTAATTGTATCCCTGAATCTTATTAAAGTTTGGGGTGAGTCATTACCATGCAGAGGTGAAAACAGAGCTGTGCAAATTTAAGGGAGGAGTGTTTCCCCATGTGCAGAGCAGAATTCCCACAGCACAGAGAAACTCCTATCACTCCATAGATATGTTGCATCATCTGCTAGCTGCTGCCTCTAATTTAATGCCCTAAATCCCATATCAAAACACTTGGAGTCCAAAGAGAATATAAAATAGGCTTGGAGTAGGAAATTCATACCAATTAGACATGCAGATCTCTCTTAATCATCGGAGATCTTCCAGGTTCATGCAGGCCTTGTAATTGTGAGTTGTTCTCATTGCATTGACTATCTGCAGAACACACTTCCTTCTCCACTGTCAAAATGAAATTGAAGGAGTAAGCCAAGGTGACTGCTCTTCAGTGTCCTAAATTTATTTCATTTATGACTATAGCAGTTCAAGCTTGTAAAATACATTATGATCTCCCGTGGAGAAAAGTACTATAGAACTGTCACTGTCACTGATCAGATAATTTCTTTGTGATGTACAGAAAGACCTGCTCTGCTTCACTTTGTACACATCATTATAGCCCCTTGCACTTGCTGTTTTGGTTTCTGGTGCAAATCCAAAAGAGCTCTTCTTTCTGAGCCTATGGTTTCTGCCACATCTCAGGCTGTTCCTCCTGTTAACTTTTGGTGATTTAATGTGCCTGTTTGGCATTCTGGCACAGCTGGGAGTATGTTGGTGGAGACAGCTCTGGACATGTGTGTGTCACGTGATTAGGAGCACAGAATTGCAGAGTAGTTTAGATGGAAGAGATCTCTGAAAATAAGCAGGGAGATGGATTAGATTAAAGCATTGTTTGTAGTTGTTTTAAAGCTAAGTAGCTGGTCACTTACCCATCTTTGTTAAGCTATTTTAAATTTATTTTACTGATTTGTTTTGGAAGTGAGGACCACCCAGAACTGGTTAAATGTGAAAACTCCCATCATTGCTCTCCTCGATGGGATTTATTGAAACTTTTAAAAAATTCAATTTAATTTGTCTTTTTTTTTTTTTTTTAACCATTTGAAACACCTAAGCTACAGAATCACATTTCCTTGTATTTCTGTAAAATAACAAAGCCAGACAAACAACAACAAAACAAACCAAACCAAAAATTTGTGATCTCCTTGAAGAAGAAATACCAGCTTCTCATAGATGAGGATTTAATTCCCAAACTCTCTGCATGCCTCTGCTATTACAGTAGCAAATTATTGAGTGTGCATGTACGGAAAAGGAGCCTATGTGCAAACATTACAATTTGTATGTGTACAAGACTGGAATTTGAAGCTTTCCTGATGCTTTACAAAGTGCCTGAGATGTATGCTTTTCAAGGGCTGTGAAGGTACTAAGGTTCTTCTGTTTTCCTTGCAGGTGTGTTATTAGACATCCAGCAGCACTTTGGAGTCAAAGACAGCGGGGCTGGCTTATTACAGACAGGTAAGAGTCTTTAGCATATTTCCTTTGAAATACATTCTTAGGAGGAAAACAAACAAAGATGAGAGTGGGTTTTTGTTATTGTTGTTTGGTTTGTTTAATTTTGCTGATGGGCAAGAGTGCAGAAAGAGCCAAGAAGGAGACCTAATTATATATGTCAAAGTCTAATCAAAGATAGCTACCTGCATTACAAAGCTCTCAATAGACCAACAGCAGGATTCTGTTGTTCTTGTTCAGAAGTATGTAATGTAAGTGTGAGGTGTGATGCCCTCCATGTATTCAGAGAATCTGCTGAATGTGCAGTATTTGGGAGTACAGTGTGACATAGAAATGTAAAGCACATCAGGAAAATAGTTGAGGATGAAAGCTGCAGGAAGGTCTAACAATGCTTGCATTCATGCTAGCACATTGATTAAAAATACTCCTATGATTCTGGTACCATTGACATCAGACATTTTTTCTCCATGTATTTAAGGAAGAAAAATTATTGAAATTCTGATGCCTTTCCTTCTAATGTTGCAGACATTTGCAGACAGAGCTGAACGACCGTAGGAAAAAAAAAGAGCTTTTCTAGCCTGTGGTTCAGAGTTGGTCCAAAGGAGTGACTTTGTCAAGGGATGGGAAATGATGATGCTGTGTAGCATCATGTATGACAGCACATTGTTCTTTATGGAGAGGTGAAAGGACCAGCTAGGCAGCAAATGCACTATTTTAAGGAGAGAAGTAGTCTGGTTTGGAAGCCAGTTGTAGAATTGTGATGCTGTGGTTGTCAGGCTCCTCATCTATGATTAGAGCATCTTGTCATGTTGCAGTACAAACTACTAATATATGTCCATATTAGGGCTTTAAAATTCTCTCCTGTCTCTTATGGGACAGAGGAGTTCAGCTAAGCTGAAGCAGCACATGTCCACAACAGAAGGTCTGAGCTTTGTAAGTGTTACTGATTATACGTAGCATCAATCAGTCATGTTCAAAGTGGCACTGGGTGTCTGTCAGGTTCTTTTCTACAGCAATTATTTGTTTTTATTTATTGTGCTCTGAGGAACAGATCCTCAATGTATCATTAGACTTAAAGTGCCTTCAACAGAATATTCTGGTGGAAAACTGCACTTGCCGAAGCACATATATAATCTTCATTCCTCTCAGTGGATGAAATCCTGCAGATGATTTACTGACAGCAAGCAATAGCTAAGCTCCATCAGGGCGTTTCATTTGTTAATTGCAAGACATTTTATTTATTTCTCTAGCAAACATCCAGAGCATCTGAAAACAGAGTCACTGAGGTATTGCAGACTTGATGCTGAGTGTGTTGTGAGTTGTGTAACCAATAAATTTTGCTTTAAGGAGAGTAACATCTTCCTTTTTTTTTTTTTTTTTTTTCTGATCTGAAAACTGAGAGCTTGACTTTGCCCTTGTACTGGAGATAGTACTATAGATGATAATGTATTAATCACAGCACTACCACAGGAAAAAACTGCTCACAGAATAACACACCATTTCATATAAGGCGTCTAACAAAAAACTTAGTGAATGTGTTACTCTGGCTTAACAAGTTTCTATTTGGCAGCTGGCATATGGCCATGGTACTCTTAACCCTGGTGGAAAGAAACATGCTGGCCTAAACTACTATAAACATTACCTAAAGTCTTTTGACCATTCTCTAAGTCTGATTACTCTAAGTTGGGAGCTGGAATATAAAAATGCTTGACCAGGATTGCAGAGGGAATCTACAGTAAAGCTGGGATTGAGACCAGTTTCTCCCAGACCTCTTCCTTAACCTTGAACAGTTCTTTTCCAAGCAGAAAGTCAGAAATATCATCTTACTCCCAGGAGATGGTCTTGCTAACTAATTGAGTGATATGAGATGAAAGACTGCTCATCCTGAATGTGTCCTCTGAATAAAGAGTAGATTAGTCTTCAGGTTGTTAATCCTGCATCTAAATGAGTCCTAAATTAATTTACAATGTTAATGAGAGGGAGTGAAATGTGGCATTCACTGTTCATATCACTCATCAAATAGGCTTTACAAAAATAATAATGAAAATCCTTTTAACTGAGAAAGAAGGCTGCACACAGTGCTTTAGGAGGAGATGGTGGTGAAAACTCAAACAGTGAGGGGAAAAGAAATGTACCAAAGGCAACGTATGCCTGTGCATTCATACCATAACCCGTTGTTTGCAGGCACAGTTGGTCTCATACTCCAAACAAGAGTTAAATCATGCACTCTCAGCTTCTCCTGCTCTCTGGTAAGCAAAGATGACTGGTTTCTCCAGAACTGCAGAGACGGAATTTGAATTTTTGTCTTGTTTTATATTAATCCCAAGATACAAGTTGCAGTGTGTCTAGGAGATGCGGTGAAAACTGCTTAGAGGGAAGCTATCTTCCTGTACAGCAAAATTTGAAGGGACACTCCAGCCTCATCCATAATGGAAAAGAGCAGAACATGGTATCCTCTGTAACAAGGATCCTATGACAGCAGAGGACACACTGACAGATGTATCACAGTTGCTGTTTGCTCAGTGGCATTGTAGAGTAAAAGCATATAACTCTGCTGATTTCAGAGCCTCAATTACCCCTTAATGATACTAAAATTCTGTGTTGATCTTCCTTTTTAAAGAACTGTGTGCATGGTTATATAAATAATAAAGTACACTTAATGGTTCTTCAGGTCTGTAGCCAAGCTTAATTGTTTCTTTTCATTTCTTGCTGGTTGCTTTTGTTAGATGGATAAAAGGATAATCCTGGCTGATCTCTAAAGGTGATAAAACACCTCAGTGCCTACTTAAGCTGTGCAGCTGTAATCAGCTGTAACCAGTCAATGCAACCAGAAGCCAAACAGTGCAAAAAGGCTTTCCTATGTATGGAAAAGGGTAAGGGCAGCAATTTGGATTGTCAAAACTATGGACTTCTAAAACCACAAAGCCTGGAAGTATGGAGAACAGATCTATAAAACTGCTACAAATTATGTTATTTAAATCACATTTTCTTCCATATATATTTAGGCCACAGGAATAATGCCCACTGGTGGGCTCTGTTTTCCACTGGATTTTTCTGTCCTTTCTTCATTATTTTTTTTCTGTGCTTTATTGCTCTGCCTGCTTTCCTTCCCCTTGAATTTATTTTGCTTTCGTCTCTCGCCAGTGTCTATTTAGCAAATCAGAGTTCTAATAATAATAGTGCCTAGCTCTTGGTACAGTTTGTCTTCTGTATATCTCGGGATTTTTTTATATAGGAGGGATAATGAGGCTTGCCCTTTTCTACAGATGGAAACCAAGAGAACCATATGGGAGAAATGTCCTGCCCAAAGTCACACAGCAGGTGTGAGCCAGAGCCAGAATGCAGTCCATTTCTTGGATACAGCACTCAACCAGGTTAATGGTCAGACCCAGAGATTTGGTCCTAGCTATTGGGCACCTTAATTTTCTAGTCTAAATAGTTCAAGGTCAAGGAACATGAAACAGTGGGGACTTCTACAAGGGGAAGCTGTAAGCCATCAAATAGTTATGGCAAGGATTTCCTTGAAATGTGAGGAAAAATTGTCTGTCTTCAGGAAGATCATAGGGATATCACTAGAGGAAATGTTGCTAACCACTTTTATACCATCAGCCAGAAACAAGGAAATGTTACAAAGTGAGAAATCTGGAAGTTAACCATGGCTCTGAAAGAACTTCTCACTTGGAGACTGATGGGCATTCCCCCCAAAATGCCTTTCAGCCCCTGGTTTTCTTGGGAAGCCTAGCAATGCTGAGTACTTTCTTAAGTCTTACTGTGGGTTGATTTCTCTTGTAAGGATCAATTGCAATTAGAACCGATCATTTGAAAAATGAAACTTGGTCCTAATTGAGTCCCCTTGCCTTTTGAGGTGAACTAGTGTAACCTTGCAGTGGATTCCAACCTCGACAAGGTACTGGCATCTCCAATATGCTGTGATTGCATCAACCAGGCCATAGGCATTGGTTGTGCCCTGATTAATGCTAGTGACAAGGGTAGCAGGAACAGCCCCTGCCCAAACGGATCCTATTTCATTACTGACTTACAAACAAGCACTTTGTTTAGAGCTTGCAAGGTGCTGTAGGATCAAACAGTCCTTCTGACTGGTTGGGAAGCCTGAGAACATCTTAACTAATGCATGGTAGAAGAGTGAATACAGAACATAGCAGACTGAAACACCATCTGTTTTCCAGTAAGCACACTGTGCTGGAGTATGTTTCAATGTGATCTAATGGAAGAGTCAGCTGCCTTCTTCCCATAAACAGGTTTTTTACTTATTAAGGTAGAGTGAGCTGAGATAGTCCAGAGCCTGATTATCACCCATGTTAAGCCCATTACAAGTTCTGACAGGCCTTTTTCCTGTCTGCTAGAGTGGTGTCTGATACGCTAAGAAGTCCTGGCAATCTGAAGTTCTGATTCATGAAAGCAGTTAAGCCTATTTGGAAATCTTTCTGCAATCAAGAATGAAAGTATTTTTGTGAATCAGTGAGCAGGTTAAGGGAAAATGTGTTTGTGCCCTAGCCCTGCCCTATGTACACCAAGGATCAAACTATAAAAATGCTGCTTACAGTGCGAGCCATCACTAGACAGCTCTAGATTGCAAAGTAAATAATCTTTGCTGGGGAGGGAAGGGACCTTAAGATGCCCTTGACTGCTTCTAATAGGAGGTAATTCTAGAGCCAGTGTTGTACTTTGTCTTTTTATTGTACATGTCAGCATGAATAGGGAAACTTTCCAGACTTGTCTTCATTAATGTTCTGATTTTATGTTACTACATGGTCACTAACACAGCATGGCAGTTCATTCCCCAAGCCTGTCTGTTCTGCTAAAGGAAGGCTTGCCTAGCTGTTGGCCAAACGGGGCAGGTATTTGGGCTGCTTGTTTCAAGGGAAACTTGCACGTGTGCCTATTTTCCCTTAGGCTGTAGTTCAGGTACTTCTTGCCAAGGTTGTGTTCATTTCTGTAATTCATTATAATAATGAGGGCAGAGATTTCCCACAGATTTTGAGAAG